GAACGGGTTGCCACTTTTCCTCTTATGCCACCCAAAGGATGTTTGTGATTCTCTTGCAGTGCAACAACTCTCTGGCATTTCTTGCAACGATATGCAGGACTAGAAACTATTCCTCTATTCCCAGATGTTCCTACCTCATAGAAGTAAAGCTTCAAGTGCCCTAGTACATTGCATATGATTTTGGATGAGAAGGTTTGGGTAGAGCCGATGCCCTTGGCTAGGTACTGTGCCGTGGCAAATTCTGTAATACACACTCCAAATAAAGAGGTGTATCATTTGCTAGTTACAATTTTTGTGATCTTTAGTTATGACCAATTGTGATATTTGTTATGACTTGATTATAACTCACAGTCAAGGTTTTGGATATGCCTGAAATAACCCATTTTGGTATTAGTTATGACCCAGTTTGATTATTATCAAGCATGTCTTTGATTATATTTGAAGAGGGGTTTGACTATGACGATTGTGTATTTCTTTTTAGTTATGATTAAAAATAATTTAGTTATAATATTTGTGATATAAACACCACAAACTGTCAGAACTTACATATATAATGCACAACTTAAAAAAGGGTTTTTGGAAGTGTTTATGTGCCATCTACTTGCCATTGTTTTGTCTAAATATGTGAGTTAAATTTTCCGTGAGACAGAGAGGTTGATTTAGATGCACAAATTGTTTTATTCCCTCCCACCTAACGATGTCATTGTTGGCTGACTGTTTTTTGTGTGTGTGTGCGCGTAGGTGTGTGGAGTCTCGCTATAGAGTCACAAAATGAGTTTAAATAAACAATTAAAATCAATTAATTAAGCAATTGCAACACGGAATAGAAGGCAAACGCAACATGAAAAGGAGTTGAAGAGCAACACTAAGCGACACAGAAAGAGAAAAACAGACCTATCGATGGCGAACGGCAATTGACGGACGCCGAACGGCGAAGGGAGAATTACACAAGGAAAATGGTCAATGGCGAAGGGAGGACCGTAACCGGCGATGGTATGAACTCTCTCTCTCTCTCTCTTTGTGTGTGTGTGTCTACGATTGCCCCAACATTCCCTGTATGTTCTGGCTATAATCTGAAGCTGAGTTAAGAATAGTAGAACATAGCCCTTTTCACTTTGAAGGGCCTTTTGTTTGGGTGAATGGATTTATTAGTACAATGAAATTGAATGGATTTTTTTTTTTTTTTTGGATGTATCAAAAAAAAATAAAAAATAAAAAAATAATAATAATAATAATAATAAGGGGTTTTTTTTTTAGGGTCCCTAGTATTAAGACTTTATAGTATAAAGGACATCTAATATTTTCATAATGTCTAAGGTCCCTCAATTTGATCCAGAGAAATTCTCTCCAACCCAGAGAAATTCTCTGTTTCTCTCCAGAGAAATTTTGTGGCCGAGTATTTCAATCTTCCTCCTCTGCCACTCCTCTCCTAAACATCCTCTAGCCATCACCACTAACCAACCCAACTAACCCACTCCCTCAAAATAATAATTTAAATATGATCAACAACGAATTAAGGGAACCAATCACATATAATAAAATAAAACTAAGAAACATCACCTTGATAATACCCAATAACATATCCAATAATCACCCCTTTACTGCTTAAAATAAGAAGAAGAAAAAAGAAATGCATTGTGGTAAGAGAGCCACATTTTTATGTTTCACAAGCAGTCTTATTCAAGCTTGGGCCACTACTACTACTTCAGATTCTCTCTTCACCATTGCACCATTACTCTCTTTGTTGCTGTTGTGACCAGAATTATGAGCAACCTCATGACATTTGGGTTCTTCTTCTACCTTTGCACTACTGTCGCCATTCTTCCTTGAGGTATCATATTTGTCGTTGTCACCATCATCATTTGAAGCTGCATCTGTACTTGTTTGGTGGTGGATGAGGATTTCCTTGATCCAACTGCGCAACTTCTCTGTAGTATCCTCATCTATTTACATACAATCAATGTAGAACAGTAAGCAAGCTCCCAGAAGACCTTGGAACAACACTAGCATTCAGGCACATGCCATGCACATGCAACTCAAATCAGAGTTACGTAATAGTTTAGAAGTAAAACCTTCTAATACATCTAGACTAGAAGGGAATTTTCACTAACTTTTTGTGAACTTCCCTGGGCTGGAAGGTAATTTCTCTAGACTGAGAGAATTTCTCTAGGGCAGTTTATCAAATCAATAGAACAGCAGATTCAACTCTACCTATTTTGTTATAGAGAAATCTCAACAGAGAAATTCTTGGAAGAATTTCTCTGGATTTTTTAGAGAAATTTTGGAAATTTCTCTGGCCTTCCCTCTCTCCAGAGAAATTCCCCCTTCTATTTACACAATAATCACATATACAAACCAGAGAAATTTAGTCCATCCCAAAGAAATTTACTCAAACTCAAAGAAAATCGCCCTCCAACCCAGAGAAATTCACTGAAATCCAGAGAAAACCAGAGAATTTCTCTGGTTTCAACCCAGAGAAAATTCAGTTAAAAAACCAGAGAATTTCTCTAGTTTCAACCCAGAGAAAATTCAGTTCAAATGAAAAAAAAATTCAGTTCACTAGTCCAAACACACACCATATATATACCACACGTACACACACAAATTCATTGAATCTAGAACTTGATCATAGAAGTACTCTTGTAGGCCAACAAGTGTAAACCCATCTCCAATTCCAAGAATGATGAACTGAGGAGCTAACCAAAACACGCTCATAGACAGATAATCGACTCTCTCTACTCTAACAATCTCTCTCTCTACTTCTCTTAGCCTCTTTCGTTCCACTAATGCCGCTATAGCCATGGTTATAACTGAGAATAACATGCCAATGCCCATCCTCTGGAGGATTTTGATGCCTTGTTCGTTGCCGGTGGCTTTCCTGAGTATCGGAACAAAAATCTTCTCATAGGCTGTGACGCAGATTATCATTCCGATCGCAGAGAGTGTGTGAATTGAGGCAGGTGGGATCACAAAATTGTTCCCGATGTTTCAGTTCATCGTGCTGCTTTGTTTGACAAAGAAAGTTGAGGTTTGTACCATACATAAACTGAAGAAAATGAGCGAGAAAGAGTCTCCAAACAGTGTCGACTGTTTCAGAAAGAGATAGATATATATAGTTTTAGAGAGAGAAAGTAGAGAGAGAGTGTGCGTTTGTGTGAGAAGATGACTTCATACAATGTCGATTTTTCAAGTTAGAACAGAATTGGATATCAAATTTCTCTGTAAGGACCTTAGACATCATAAAATAATATTGTGGATCTCTTCCATTATTAAAAATGGGAGAGAGACCTTAGACTAATTTTCCCTAATAATAATTGAGTGAGAGAATTATTAATGTGATAGTATTAAGTTCAAGATGTGAGATAAATTGTATTTATTTGTATAATATATAATGATATTAGTTAGTTGGAATTAAATCAATAGAATTACATCAAAACTCTTATTATATAGAAGATGATTTTATTATTTTTGTAAAATAAGGGACAAAATGGTTTTTTCACTTTCAATCTTGTGACGTTAGATTTAACAAAAATGATTGAGAGCTCTGAAAAAGGAGTTCTAGGGAGCTTTAATTGTGATGAGTTCTACTGTGATGTGATGTTTTGTGTTATTTTATTTCATTTTTTGCCTTATCACATAAGTAAAGCTCTCTTTAAAACTCTACTATTAGAGCTCTATATCATCACCCTTACATTTAAATACCACTTTGGGATTGGAAGCATAAAACATTTCTACTTTATTATCTTTTTCATTATGTGACAAATGTTAAAACACACTCTTTTTATAAAAAGCACTTATACAAAATATGTGATAATGATATTTTCATATTAATTATTAGTGATAAAAATAGATTTTTTTTTTAAAAAAAATACTTCTAATTAATAAATATAAATGTATGCATAGTTTAAATTTTGGAGGAGAATTCCCTTTGGTCACTGTTTTGGACTGGACGGGTTGTTTCAGCTTATGGGGGTTCACTACGTGTTCCATTTTAATAATTTAAATCGTTCATTTTGTTGCGTAATTTCATATATTTCATTTACACGAAAAATCAAGTCGATTCGATAACTGTAACTAGTTTAATTTATCGCTTTTTTCACAAAAAAAAAAGATAACAAAAAAAAAAAAAAAAACACATACAATTTTTTTGATGACAAATAAGATAAATTAAACTAGTTACAGTTATTAGATCAACTTAATTTTTTTTATGGATGAAATACATGAAATACCCGACAAAATAAACATTTTAAATTATCAAAATGAGACTCATAGTGATCTTCATTAGCCAAAACAATCCTGTCCAGTCCAAAACAATGATTGCAATCCTCCAAATTTTTTTGCATACATTTGTATCACGTACGGAAATCACTACAGTGAAACAAAATGTTTGCTTCTACCTATGCATAAAAAATTAATGTTTTAAGTCAGTGATATCACGTTCTCCTTCAAATGTAATAGATAATAATATGGAACAACATACCATCAACAATGAAGAAAGAGAAGCTTTGGCCGATGAAGCAGCTTGTATCTTTAAGGTGCATGAAGGATTGCGTCATGCAAATGAAAAGGCATACACACCTATGCTAGTTTCAATAGGGCCTTATCACCATGGTCAACCGAAAGTACTTGCTATGCAAAAACGTAAAGAGCGTTATTTGGAATCGCTCCTTCAACGTAACAACCATCAGAGTAAGGATGATTATTTAGATACTCGTATATCTACTTAATTTACTTACTACATAAGCTATATCCAGGCGAATGCAGTTCATCAAGTACATTAAACTTTCAATAATTTGGGCATACTCTAATTGAGAAATACTTTCCTGTATATTCTTAGAAAGAAACAAATTAACATCCACAGGTGTTCTAGCAAGATGATCATCATCTTTGCTGAATTTGTCAAGTATTTTCTCAATGTAATGAGATTGTGACAAAGCATAACCTTCTGATGTTTTGATAATTTTCATACCAAGAATTGCACCCCACTCCCACCAACATCCATGAACAAGTTAGAAGAAAGAGCTCGCGAGTATTATGCAGACTCATTTGACCACCTCGACAATTATCAATTTGTAAAAATGATGCTATATGATGCTTGCTTTGTTATTGAGTTTCTTCTTGGTTTGTTTGAGTTTCGTGTTGTTGAGGATAAACATCAACAATCACATGTGGGTGATGAAGTCAAAGTATCATGGAAGAGAATACAGATTTGCAATGACTTGATGTTACTTGAAAACCAACTTCCATTCTTTGTTATATCTGAATTTTATGACATGAGCTACGGCATGATAGTGACCCAAAATCCAAACCAGATTCATCATGATCCTACCTTCACCCCCACCCTCACGAAGCTGGCAATGTTACGTATACTTGAGAAGCTACCAGGAGGGATTGACTTTTCCAAAATGGATTTTGAAAATAAGTCCATCTCTGAAAGCAAGCATTTTCTTGACTTGGTGCATAATGTTTGTCTTCCCTCCTGCTCTAGAGATGAGTTAAATGACCACCAAAACAAGAATCAAAGAACTTGCTTTAATATGCCGTGTGTGACAGAGCTTAAGGACGCTGGTGTCAAGTTTGAGGCTAGAGAGGAGCGTAACCAAAGCATGTTCGACATACACTTCGACCATGGTCATTTTAAAATACCAAAGTTTAAAGTCTCTGATTCGACAGAAATATTCTTCCGCAACATTATTGCCTATGAACAACATTCCTCGGATGACGAACCCAAATATTTCACCGATTATACGTCTTTCATGGATCAGCTTATCAACTCCAAAGAAGACGTGAGCCAACTTGGTCGCCATGAAGTTCTTGACCACTGGCTTGGTGACGACGAAAAGGTAGCACTTATGTTCAATAGCCTGGGTACAGGGGTGTTCATTTCGGAGCAGTTCTACTATGCTGAACAACGCAGAAAAGTGAATGCTCATTGCAGGAGATGGTGGAACAGATTGGTAGCTTCATTGAAGCATGATTACTTCACAAATATATGGGTCACTGTTGCCACTTTTGCAGCTGGTTTTCTCCTCCTCCTCACTCTCATACAGACTGTCATTGTCCTTATTATGATTATTACTTCGCCCCCGTCCTGACACTGATCTGAAGTTGTTTGCTTAGGCCACCACCCTATCATCCACTATTTCATTTCAACAAAATATTCTGCATCTGCATATGTAGACAGTTTCTATGTTTGTATTAATCTGAGTGAGAATGAATGTGTTTTCAGAATAAGTGTAATGTTTATTAACTCATAAACTTGAATATTAAATGTGTTACCATGTGTGTTTGTGATTTCTACTATGGTTTTTATGTGTTTAAATATTATATGTTCTTAAGATTTCATGGCTTGCATATGATTGGGCTCAATTATAGGTGCCAACCTAGTTGGGATGTATTTTTGAGCTATGATGCAATTCAGTCAAGTCCTTCCTTTCTATCTTTTTATTAATAATATTCTCTCTTCGCTTATCAAAAAAAAAAATAAAAAATTATAGCTTCTCCAGTGATCAGTGGCAGATCTACACTAGACCAAAGAGGCAAATGCCTCTCCTCGAAATTTAAAAAAAAAAATAAATTGTTTTTACCCATAAAAATTTAGAAAAGATTTTCAAATTGCCACCTCTTTTTGCTTTTTTTCAACTAAACCCCTTCATTTGCCCCTTGTATATATTACTTTGAAGAGGAGGCTATTGTAGATGTTGGAGGGACATTGAAAATCGCTACAGAGAAGCTCTCTGGCGCCCCCTTGTATTTGGAAGTTTACTGCATGCTAGTATGATTCAGGTTTGTGCAATTCATCAAAATTTTTATTTTTAATAATTTGAATCGTTTATTTTATAAAAACTTTCATATATATCATTCAAAAAAAATAATTTAATTATAAATTATTCAATTTATCAAATTTATCACAAATCATAATACCAATAATATGAGAGAACAAATTGTGATTACTAATAATAAGAGAGTCCAAAGTTCAAAAAAAAAATAATAATAATATGAGAGCCCCGATCAAAAAATTAATAATATGAGAGTCCTACAAAACTGTGCTCTCATATTATTGCCTTAATTACTGATGCAATAAAATAAATAAATAAATCAGTGTGCGATACAAAAAAAAAAAAAAAAACACAACACAGAAAAAACTTATTTACCCAAAAACACACAGAAAAAGCTTACAACCGTCTCGCTTTTATGCCTGGTAATTTGATGCAAGCTACCGTTCCTAGTTACACCTGGACAGATTGGTTACTTATTAATTTGGTCCTTTTAATTTTAATTAGTTTAATTTTATTTTAAATTTATAAGTTTATCTTAATTTATTTTATTGATTATAATTTTTTAATTTTTTTTAATGAAAAAATCACTCATAAATCACATGTAATTATTATTTTATAAACAAAATTGTAAGTTCTTAAACTTAGCAAGTTATCTTCAACTAATTTGGTAACTATTTTCTTTCAAAAATTCTAATTAATATTATTAATTGGATTAAATTGATACAATATTTAAGATTAATGGTCAAAATTGAGCTAACTTAAATGACAAAGACCAAAATAACATAAAGGACAAAATACATGGACTATCGATATAATTTATCCAAAAATAAATAAAGGAAAAAAATAAAAAAAATAGAGCCCGAACAATATTACCATTAAAAGACACCAAATTTAATATGATTTGAACAAATAATTGGGTAGATATAGTGATAGTTAAAACAGACTAAACCCCTATAGTTGAAAGCACATTTTCGTTATTAAAGTCTAAAATTAAAAAACAATTAAGTTTTGTTTGGCAATAGGTTTTATTGATTAAATTAGTTAAAAAAATAAAATAAATTAAAAATTAATAAAATAAAATATCATATCTAAATTATAATTATTTCACTTTTTTTCTCACAAAAGTTAAAAAAGCGAGCTCAAACAAACTTTTTAGCCTGAACTAAAATAACCAAAACATCAAAAAAAATAAAAAAGGCAACTAAAAAAATCAATTGCCAAATGACAACATAATATATAAAATGAGTTAATGTTGTAATTTTTAATTCAATAGGAAAGATTAATATAAAACAATAATTGAGGGGATAAAATATAGGAAATTTTACTTATAAATCCCATATTGAGAAATAGTGATCCATTTAGTCCCAAAGATTTTTTTATAGACCAATTAGTCCCATTGATTTTGAAAATTTATATTTAATATATTATTTAAAAAATGGATTTTCGGTTATACCCTTATTTTTATTATGTTTCCTTCTCTTTTTTCTTGTGCTAGAAAGGTAAGGTACACAATGTATGAGAATCAAATTTGAGATGAATTTTTATATGAGAATCTTTTTTATTTGACAAACATTTCAAAATGAGTACAAAAATGACTTAAAATATGGAATTCTTCAAACATTCTAAAACGATGTGAGGTTTTTCAAATATTTCAAAAGGAGTACAAAAACTCCTTAGTAAGTTTTGGACAAATATATAATTTTAAACTGTAATGCACCAATGTAACACTCAAATGTAATATTCCAAAAAAAATTCTTAGTATATTTTTCCCAAACGTAACACTCTAATATAACACTTCAAAAAAACTCCTTGGTGTAACACTCTAATATAATACCCAAAAAAACACTTGTTAGTGTACTTTTTTCAAACATAACTCTTCAATATAACACTAAAAAAAATTACTTAGTGTAACATTCTAACATAACACATGAAAAAGATATGGGATTCTTCTAAATAATAACATTAAAATTAAAATATTATTATTCAAGATCAAAAATTAAATTCTCTTTTCAAGTTTAATAATATTACAATCAATTATAATATTAAAGGTAACACTCTCTCATATTTTTTTTAATTATCAATTAATCATATCATTTACACATTATTAAATCAAAAAAATGGGTCTACAAAATTGGTTTTAATGGATGATTAAAACTATAACATGTGACTTTTGTGAAATGCTTGACAGGTCAACAAAACATTAAACTCCTCATTTGATCACTTGCAAGTTGCAAATTCACATTTGCTTATGAGTCGAGCTAAAGAGCACACTTTCGGAAATATGACTCTCTTTGTTTTTTAATAATTTATGATGAATTGTTGCTTTGATTGTGCACATTTTGATGTCACTATCATGGCTAGTCTAGTTTTGAATCAGTAATCCAACACATATCCCTGAAATTTAGGTTAGGTGCATGCATTTTTTCTTCATTTTTCACATGTATATATATGACCATATCTTCAACTCTAGATTTGATTGTGCAAATTTTGATGTCACTATCATGGCCAGTCTAGTTTTGAATCAGTAATCCAACACATCTCTCTGAAATTTTGGTTAGGCCCATGCATGTTTTCTTCATTTTTCACATGTATATATATATGATCATATCTTCAACTCTAGATTTGTTACCATGTACAGCATCTCATGTTTATATATGTGAAAAATGTTGGTTGATCTTAAAAATTATCTTCAAAAAGACCGACATGAGATTTCCAATAAAACAGACCCTGGGCACAAAAACTTGAGGGTTGTTTGATACAAATATGTTTGCTCAATTTGTTGCCATTGTTGTGTGGTTATCTGGGCTCATTTCAATGATTCAAACTGTTCACATTTTATAATATATTGAGTAGAACATATCTGTAAAAAATCAAGTTAATCGGATATCGTTAACCATTTCATCCACTCCCATTTATATTTAATTTTATACTTTAAATCACAATTGTCATTTATTTTTGTAGATACAAATGCAATTCGATGTAATTGTTAACGATATCCGATCAACTTGATTTTTTGCAAAATGTTTTACTTGATATATTCTAAAATGTAAACGGTTCATATCATTGAAACGGGTCTTGAAATGAACCCCATATGATTGCACAACAGTGGCTGTTGTGCCCCGCACAGCAGTGACCCCAAAAATAGAATGGAATTGTATCGCTCATACTTTTAAGAAATTTCACACTTCAAAAGTTATTTAAAAGGGAAAAAAAAATGAGCATTAGTTACATTTGTAGTTTGATGTGTCTAACAAAAAACACATGTTGACAGACACAGTAATGCTGGAGTTCAAGCAGTACGCCCCGGCCAGGGTCACAAAGGAGACAAACCGCGATAAATAGGAAGGACTATAGAGAAGTAGGCAAAGAAGCAGATGGGTTTTACGGGGAAATCAGGAAGCTTTACCACAAGGAGGAGATCTCGGTTTGGAAATGCCTGTGGCCAACCCAATTCCTAGTATAGCACGCCTGTGCTTCCTTCATCACTTGACACCCGTGTCAAGAAGCCCCCTTCTTTTTCTTGAATCGTACAAGTGGCAAGGTGACCAAGGAATGAAGAGATTTGGAAGGGTATATGTAGAATTTGAGTTGTAGAAATGTCGGCTGCGCAATGTCATTATACTTCAGTTTTTGTTTGGTAGATGCAAGAGGCCTTGAATTGTGAAGATAGAATGTAACCATACACCATGATATAATCGTTTGATAAATACAGCAAAACTTCACTGTTTATGCCAGATGAGTCTATATGAACATACATTTTTGTGAAATTTCGCCCTTTTTGTTTCAATGATTTGGGTATTTGATTGATAAAAGTCCTGAAACCTTAAAACAGAGGTTGCTAAAAGACAAGCCTGAAACATTTTGAAAACTCTGATACATCCAATTTTACTTTTAGTTAATTATTTTACTATTAGGAATTCAAAAGTATTATTATATAATATATCAAGTGTATACAAACATTACTAGATGGATAAAGAATCAATCAAATTAGAAGTACTTTAAAATTAATAACAATTCAAAATTACCTGGAACTCAAGAGTCATGGATCTATTAGAAGCCTAGAATAAAGTGATTGAAGGAAGACGTGTAATGAAAGTAAGCAACAGATTTTGGAAAGAAGCCTTAAAACCAGTGCACAAACTGAATCTAGATTATTTGTACCTTCCATAATCTATATTAAATCCGATCTATTGACAGGCTTAATTTAGATTAGATTATGTTTCTAGTGAACTGTTTATGGCATCTTTAACTTTCGAAATTTAGTGACTGTTTTTTGTTATCATGTTTATCTTAATCTCTTTATTCCAAGCTTCTTGTAGACCGATTAGTCTTGAATTCTTTATGTTAATTGCATCCAGTAAGTAAGGAATTTGAAAGATCTTTTTTAACTTCTCCTGCTAATGTAATCATCCACAAAGGAGTAACGTTGCTTGTCAGATTTTTTCTTAAATTTTTTATAGTTTATATTTGAAAGGTTGAGCGATAGAACAATAGAACAACATAGAATCAACATTGACGAAAGAGAACATCAGCAAGAAGAAGAATGCATCGTTGTGATAGATCAAATACGATGTCAATGGGAGTCATACGATGACACAAGTCAATATACAAGAGTAAATATGATCGACACAAAGGCAGCAGAATTTATAATAAAATTCATTGCCAAAAGAAATGTTGGTTTGGGCTTGTCAAAGTTGCCACCCCCTCAGACCTCCTCAAATCAACCTTGAAAAGAAGAAGACAGTAGGGATTCCGATGAACCTTGTATCTTCAGAGTGCATGAAGGACTGCGTCATGCAAACAAAAAGGCATACACACCTATGCTAGTTTCTATAGGGCCTTATCACCATGGTCAACCAAAACTACTTGCAATCGAAAAACATAAAGAGCATTTTTTGGAATTGCTCCTTCAACATAACAACAATCATAGAAAGGAGGATTACTTGGATTGTATGAACAAGTTGGAAAAAAGAGCTCGCAAGGATTATGTAGACCCAGTTCATCACCTTGACAGTGATGAATTCGTGAAAATGATGCTATATGATACTTGCTTTGTTACTGAGTTTCTTCTTGGTATGTTTTTTTGTTGAGGATAAAAATCAACAATCATATGTGGGTGATGAAGTCAAAGTATCATGGAAGAGAATACAAATTTGTAATGACTTGATGCTACTTGAAAACCAACTTCCATTCTTTGTTATATTTGAATTTTGTGAAATGAGTTACGGTGTGGGCATGACCCAAAATCCAATCTAGAATCATCCTGATCCTACCTCCACCCTCATCCTCACCCTCACGGTGCTGGCTTTGTTGCCTATTCATTAGAACCTATCGGGAGGGATTGACATTTCCAAATCAATTTTGAAAATATGTTTGTCTCTGAAAGCAAGCATTTTCTTGACTTGGTGCATAATGTTTGTCTTCCCTCATCCTCCAGAGATGAATCAAATAACCACCAAAACAAGAATCAGACAACTTGCTTTAAAATGCTGTGTGTGATAGAGCTTCTGGATGCTAGTGTCAAGTTCGAGGCTAGAGAGGAGCGCAACCAAAGCATGTTCAATATACACTTTGAACATGGTCATTTTAAAATACCAAAGTTTAAAGTAACTGATTCGACAGAGACATTCTTCCGAAACATCATTGCTTATGAACAACATTCATCGGATGACAAATCCAAATATTTCACTGATTATATGTATTTCATGGATCAACTTATCAATTGCAAAGAAAATGTGACCCAACTTCGTTGCCATGAAGTTCTTGAAAACTGGCTTGGTGATGGCTAAGTGGTGGCACTTATGTTCAACAACCTGGGTAAAGGAAGGATCATTTCAGAGCAGTTCTACTACGCTGAATAGTTGGACAATCTTCATTGTATTACAAATAAATTTTGTTTGTGTACTTAACACCAAACAGAACACAGAAGAAATAAAGGAAATGAGAGAGATCGTTTGATTACAAAAATCAAACCAATAAATAAAATAAAAAAACAAGTAAATTAATTACTTAATTAATTTCTCGAACAAATTTTTGATCAAGTCCAGTGTTTAACACTATGTCCTTAAGACAGATTCGTCATTTCCACGGTGCTTTCAGATTGCGGACGTCTATCTCCCAGAATAAAATGATCAACAGCGAATAATAGCAGCACTACAAATTATTCGCCTAACAAACACACTTTGTGTTTATACTCTTTCTCACAGAAAATTTAATGTAGCAAAATGCAGAGATTACCAATAGTAGAGAAGAACGAAAATTTCTGAATGAAAATCCAAATGAGGGCCTATCTTATTTATAGATGAATTCATGGCTTTTCAGTTTGAACTCAATAGGTAGCAAGCCTATTTGGTTTTGAATCAAACTTGTTCGGTTTGAATAAACAGTTAAGGACTCTGTTGGGTTTAATTTAAACAGATCTGAATCTGTTCGGACAAGTAAAACCTGTACAGAAAATTTGAAGAGGTGCAAGCAACATTTTTGAATTTTACCAACTGAAAATTTGAGTTAAAAAATTAGCCTGAATTTATTTCCCAAAAATAAGAAATAAATTCAAACGTTTTTAGCCCAAAGAGAATTAGTATTGGACTGGACAAGCCTAACCAACCTCACACCACGCACCCGCGCCCAATGCCCAGGTCCAGCCCAACCCACCCGACCGACCGAATGGCGGCGGCAGCGGCGCACGCATGTGTGTTTATTTTTGGGTCTAATAGGTCTAGCCCACTTTGCCCATAACCTCACCCTTCTACAAAACTTGAGTACCCCTTGGGGCCCTCCCCAAGTTGCAAACCCATTCTTTATAAACCCACAAAAGTTTGCCCGCCAAACTAATGTGGGACAAGCCTTAAACCAAACCTTTAAGGAAATTTCACCAAAACACCATTTTCATGGAGCTCTCTTTGGCTTCAATTTCCCATTCACCCAATAATGGTTTTGAGCAACCAAATATACTACGTGAATCACAATGTGGCATAGAACACGTTACCACTTAGACCCGCCAACTTTGGCACATGGGTCCCACCTAAAAAATAGATCAAAGTTGAGGAAAAAATTGTTTTTCCAAAACCATTTCTAGCAATCCCCCACATGAATGGAATTTGATGACAACGGAAATGTAACAATATGCAGAATGTTGTTGAAAGAGTATAAATCGAACATATATCTTGCATCAGAATAGGTACCCTTCGGCCTTGAACCTTCTCTAGTGATAACCTATCAGGCTTACTAGCTAACCAATGGACACGATGCCTTGAATTGTTCAGCCGTTTGTGTACGCCAAGATAATAGATTTCACATAAAATATCTTTTGACACATCGTGATTTTCATGATTGTGTTCATTTTGGCCTTGAACCCTCCTGGTTGTTCGTGAGTGCTTCTAGAGAATTTATCCTCTTCATTCTCATAGAACCGACCCCAATTCGACACTCATATAGGTGATTCTTATTGTGAGTATCTCTTATACTTGTCTTGATTTTTGCCTAAATCAAGATATAAGTAATCATTAAAAGCAAAGCTTATCCTTAAACCCTCTGCATATAACACATGTTGCATATATCACTCTCACCATAGGAATGGGTAGGGAATTTTAATCCCTTGGTGATTTCTGAAGCGCCGCACATAACTTAGTTGTCCCTTTGAACTTAGTTCTTGGGGATCTCCAGTCATATAAATAGGGTTACCATTATGATGACTCTTATGTAATAGGTTTTAATCCCATCCCCTTCAATGAACTATACACTTGCTCTTTTGTCAAACCTTTTGTTAACGGATCTGCAATATTCTTTTTAGATTTTATATAATCTATTGAGATTATTCCATTTGAGAGCAATTGCCTTACGGTGTTATGTCGACGACGAATATGTGACTTACCATTATACATATGACTATGTGCCCTACCTATTGCAGATTGATTATCACAACGAATGCAAATGGTTGGCACAGGTTTTGGCCACATTGGAATGTCTTCTAAGAAGTGGCGAAGCCATTCTGCCTCTTCTCTCGCTTTGTCTAAAGCAATGAATTCAGATTCCATTGTGGATAGTGCAATGCATGTTTGTTTCGTAGATTTCCAAGAAACAACAGCGCCTCCCAGAGTAAAGACATATCCACTTGTGGATTTTGAATCTTTAGTATTGAATATCCAATTGGCATCACAATAACCTTCCAATACTGCAGGATATCGAGTAAAGTTCAAACCATGATCACAGGTAAACCTTAAATATCTAAGAACCCGAATGATCACTTTCCCATGGTCTTCTCCGAGGTTACTAGTGTACCTACTCAATTTACTAACTATATAAGCTATATCAGGACGAGTGCAATTTATTAGGTACATTAGGCTTCCAATGATTTGAGAGTATTTCAGCTAAGATACCGCATCACCTTTAATTTTTCGATAAATAAAGATTGATGTCTGCAGGTGTTCTTACTACATTCATATAATCATTGACATATTTATCAAGAATTTTCTCAATATAATGTAATTGAGATAATGCATATCCATCAGATATTTTAGTAATTTTCATTCCTAATATTACATCTGTTACTCTCATATTTTTCATATCAAATCTCTTTTTCAGCATTTGCTTGGTTAATTTGATCATGTTTTGACTGTTTCCAATGATAAACATGTCATCTACATAAGGACAAACTATGACATATCCTTGGTCAGTGTTTTTAACATAGATGCACTTGTCACATTCGTTTATCTTAAACCTATTAGTAAGCATAGCATGATAAAATTTTTCATGTCATTGCTTAGGAGCTTGTTTTAATGCATAAAGAGATTTTACAAGCCAACAAACTTTCTTTTCCTGTCCTGACACTACAACCCCTTCGGGTTGCTCCATATAGACCTCTTTATTTAGATCATCGTTTTGGAAAGTCATCTTAACATCCATTTGATGTATTTCTAAATTATACAATGATGCTATAGCAATAAGCATGTGGATAGATATTATTCTTGTCACAGGGGAATATGTGTCAAAATAGTTCAGACCTTCCTTTTGTCTGTAACCTTTTACCACAAATCTTGCTTTATACTTGTCTATTGAACCATCTGCTTTCATTTTTCTCTTGAATATCCATTTATATCCAAGAGGTTTAGAACCAAGTGGAAGATCCATCAATTCTCAAGTATGATTTTTCATAATGGATTCAATTTTATTATTAACAGCCTCTTTCCATAAAGGTGCTTCAAGACCTGTCGTTGCTTCCTTAAAGCTTTGAGATTCATTTTCTAACAGATAAGTCAGAAAATATGGACCAAAGGATTTTGATGTTCTTGCTCTCTTACTTCGTCTTGGTTCATCATCAGTTAAATCATGTTGGTCGAGACCATTACTAGTCTCTTGCATTTGATTGTCATTAGTCTTTTGACTTTGAGTACAATCATAAGTTCTTTTATGTGAATTTAATTCCTGTCCTTTATTGTAAGGAAACTCATGTTTAAAAAACACAGCATTCATTGACTCAATAATAGTGTTCACATTTATATTAAGTATTTCTAATTTATAAGTCAGAAACTGGTATACACTACTATTCTAAGCATAACTAATAAACACACAATCCGCTGTTTTTGGTCATATCTTAGTCTTTTTACGAACAGGAACTTCTACCTTCGCCAAACACCCCCACACTTTTAAATATTTGTAGGAAGGTGGTTGACCTTTCCACAATTCATAAGGAGTGCTGTTAGTTTTCTTGTGGGGTATTCTGTTAAGAACATAATTAGCAGACAATATTGCTTCCCCCCCACAAGTTTAATGGTAAGCCTGAACTTACTAACATGGCATTCATCATTTCTTTAAGGGTTCTATTCTTCCTTTCAGCAATTCCATTTTGCTGTGAAGAATATGGTGCTGTAGTTTGGTGAATAATGCCATGTTGTGTACAAAATTCATTTAAAGGTGTATCATATTCACTACCCTATCACTTCTAACCATTTTAATGGCTTTACCGAGTTAATTTTCAACTTCAGTTTTGTAGAGTTTAAACATTTCCAAGGCTTCATCTTTATTTCTAAGTAAATAAATATAACAATATCTTGTGCAATCATCGATAAATGTTATGAAATACTTTTTGCCTCATCTAGTTTGAACAAATTTAAGATCACATATATCCGCATGAATTAATTCTAAAGGTTCAGTTTTTCTTTCAACCGATTTAAATGGAGCCTTAGTTAGTTTCGCTTCTACACAAACCTCACATTTGTGATTAGAATCAATTTCAAACTTTGCTATATAATCCAAACCAATTAATTTACGCAAAGCATCAAAATTCACATGTCCTAACGTACCATGGTATAAATTTGACTCAAGCATATAAGCAAAAGATGTGTTATTCTTATTAATAGAAAGTTTTGGTACAACAGTCATTACATTCAACTTGAAGAGACCATCACTCATGTGTTCCTTACCAACATACATACCACTCTTTGTTAATATAAATTTATCAAACTCAAATACAGGTCTAAAACCATTTTTACTTAACAAAGAACCAGAAACTAAATTCTTTCTCATGTCTAGTACATGCAGCACATTATTGAGGGTCAGTTCCTTTCCTGATGTCATCTTCAAAATTACTTTCCCTTGTCCAACCACAACAGAAGTAGAAGAATTTCTCATGAAAAGTTGTTCACCATTTGCAGCCTCATTGTAAGTAGTGAACATCTTTTTGTCCGTGCAAATATGTCGAGTTGCCCCAGTGTCAACCTACCATTCTTTGGGATTTCTAACCAAATTAGCCTAAGACACCACAGTAGAGAGATTGATGTCATTTACCCCG